GGTGACATGGATCCCTGTCCATGGTCTTCCTAAGTAGAGGACAGGGCTGAGGCTGGGTGTTGCCTCTGGAGGCAGTGAGGGGGTCACCACAGGGAACTGAGAAGAGACCACAGGGGCTTCTGGGCTTGGAAATGGTATAGTCAGTCTGGGAACCTTGAAAACTGAACACACAGATGCAGGTTCAGGTCCCTACTTGTCCCTTTAGAGCCATAGATGCTTGACTGATGTGGTCAACTAATGGAAATGTCATATAGAGATGCTCACTGTAGCTGGTGCAGAGCAGGTGGAGGTTTCCCTTGTTTTGGCTCCACCCAGTGAGGTACCCTAAAAAATGCTTTGGGGCTTCAGTAGTCCTGATAACACTGTGGGAAGACTAGGAAATTTTAAGGAAAAGCTGGCTTCTCAGGTTTTCTGGGCCAGCAAGACTGTCCAGGGCTCCACACCTGACCTACCAGCCAGCAATCCTGTGGGTAAGCAGCAGCCATGGCTGCTAACAGTCATAGTAATGGGCATTTGTTGAACATTTATTCTGTGTGAGGCCTTGTCCTAAGAACTTCATAAAACCCAACTCTATTCATGCTCACCTGGCTCTGCCCAGGGAGAATGCATGCCCTGTCTAAGGTTACAGAGCCAGAAAACGCTAAAAGCAGGATTGGAAAGAGCCTCATTTCCTATCAGGGGTGCCTGGCTCTTCCTGTCTTGTCAGCTGTCCCTCCCTGTGCCCCACTTCAGGAAGGTTTCAGTCGATTTATATTTGCTCCTACATTCATGCCTGTGGGCCTCAGGGGTTTACCCAGTGCTCCAAGCTCTGCCCAGAAGAGGCAACTTCAAAGAGGAGCAATCCCCAGTAAACAAGGACCTAAGAGACTCAGGTCCAGCATGGGATGCTCCAGGGCTCAGATTCTGCCCAGAAGAGGAGTTGGTGGGCTCTTGCATTGTCCTGTCCACAGCTGTGCCAAAGTTCTGTGGGTAGGAGAGAAGCTTCCAGCTCCATCTCTGGAGATTTTCAAACTGCTGTCTTGGCAACCCCTTGTCTCCTCACCAGCCACAGAGCCCCAAACCATTTATTCCCACCTCCTCCCCTTGACCTCAGGGCTCTCCCCAATATGCAAAGCCAACCCACAGCACCTGGAGGGAAGAGAATGAGAAAACAAGACATCCACTACCTGATGGAAGTTCCTAGTACTCCAGCAGCCATCTACCCTTACTCAGGAAATATCATTTAGTGCTGATGGTAGTGAAATTTTAACTGGAATTTGGGCATTAGCATCAAGATGCTTGCATTTGGTAAGTCAAGAGGCTCTGCTGTCACCACCCCTTGCCCTTCTGGGACCAATCACTCTGTGTGGCCAACAAGATGCTCCCCAGGAGAGGCTGGGGTGGGGATAGACAGGCTAAGCCAACCTGAAACCCTCATTTAAGGGCTGTCCTTACCAAGACTTGTGTCTAGCGGTGCAGCAATGCAAACTCTCCTATTGTCATGGAGCCCCTCCTCCCGCACCTAATCTGTAGACAAGGCAAGTCAAAAGAGAGAGTGCCTGGGTCTCCATCTCACTTCAGGGCCAGAGATTCCCACAAGCTACGCTCCTGCCTTTTTTACACACTCCACTAGCATCCCCGGAGGCGTAGCCTAGTGCATTTTATAGACAGAGAAAGCTCAGAGTCAGACTGGGGTTCTGAGGGAATAAAGCTCTTCCAGCTGCAGGAATGGGAGGTGTTACTTGCGGGTTGGGAGGGAGAGCAGACCGGAGACAAATGAGAAACAAGGTCCTAGGGTCCCTTGTTGCAAGCCCTGCCACCGGAAGGAACCTCCACTTGGGTAAAGCTAGATCCTTGACAACAAGGCAGAAAAGAATTTCAGGACAGTCAGTGAGACAAAGTTAATAAAAGGGTAGCAAGGCGTGCTTCGGATTAATCCCTGGCAGGGAGTAGGGAGAGAGAGGGAGGGAGAGGGAGGGAGAGCGGAGGGAGGGAGAGGGAAAGTGCTCACTCACAGGTAGGTGTGGGATCCCAAGGGAGCAGGTGACAAAGACAGCTAAAGAGAATACCTTGGAGTCCTTGTTTGGACTCTCAAGCTTATAGGGCTGCAGGTCTTGTCTCCCAACCAGTCCCTACCGGTTTGTAGCCCAGAGCTGCTGGATATAATCATCCACTGAGAATCCAAGCATGACTAGTCTCTGGGCCTCCGTGGCCGAGTTTCTGGGATCCATAATGCAAAAGTTTTGGATTCTTATGGGATCGCAGAACCATGTACAACCTTACAACCTTACTGAAAGAGAAAAACCCAGAAGGACACCCTCCTAATGCCCCCCCCCACCCAAGGTTCATCTTAAGATTAATTTCCCAGGCCTATAGCAAGTTCTCACTAAACCTTGCTGGAGGGGACAGTCAGAGAGGAGAGCTGGAAGGCATGCATGCTGTGGCCCAGCCCTTCCGGTGGTGGCTGTAGACATCTCCACCTAACTTTAGTGGGTACTCTGATAACTCAAGCTTATTCCGGTGGCAAGAAGACATCTGGATACAGAGCTGAGCTGCTACCTTCTGGGATGCTACTCTCCTGCCCCTGGGACCTTCAGCACACCCACAGACACTGGCACTCCCTGTTTTAAAGAGCAACAACAAGGGCCCCCGGGAGCTAGAGGCTGAGGCCTTGGCTATAATTCACTGCATCCCAGAGCAGAGGTGACTTTCTTGGCCAAATCAGGGTAGAACAAACCAAGGAGCAACAGCATCCCATTTCCTCTTCCTATGGCATAAAAAAAAATCCCAAATAATCTTGTTATTACCGCTCACCAGGCACTGTCCCTGCAGCAACTCTCAGAACTGTATGCAAGAAGGCTACATTGTACCATTTTATAGAACTAGAAAACTGAGGTTTGAAGAAATTAGTTATAGAGCAGGGAGGCAAGGAGTATGATATTCTAGGCCTGCCCAAAAGGCTCACTCCAGACTCAGAATTCTTCTAGTCCTTGATCTGAAACACAAGCCTTAGGAATAACTCCATGGCACCAAAATCCGAATGGAAAGGAAGAGTGCAGTCCACGACACTCAGAATCCAGATAGGAACATATGCATTGTGTAGGCTTCATCGGAGGAAGAAGTCTGGAGCCAGGTCTGCTTTGCTGTCCCGTGGCTTTGGGAAAAAGTGAGCTAGCTGCAGTTTCCCTGGTGTTATCAAGATGGTCAGCAAAGGGACAGCTTGGCAACCTGCATGTTAAGAATGGTCTCCGGAGAACTACATAGTAAAGGGAGACTCAGGGGAGTGGAGAACAAATTGTGTGTGTGTGTGGGGGGGGGCAGGGGACAACATTGGCAACAGGGAGAGGTGGGATAGAAAGGCACTGTGGATGAATTTTAATGCAATCAGAAAGCTGTCATGATGTTAATAAAGGAATACATTCAGAGTGAGGCAAGGAACTGAGTCCCGCATTTAAATCAGCATCACAGAGGAGCCACCATATGCCTCCTTCCTAAGGGAAGGAAGGGAGTTTTAAAAGCAGGAGGGCAAGGTATTAGGAAGCTGCAGGTTTTTAGCTGCAGATGTGTTGGAAGTCAGGTCCAGGAACTTGGAGCCTTTAATAGGCACCTTGTTGGGGCAGAGGTGAGCTTCAATTGCTCTGCTGAATCCCCGTTCCACTTCAGCTTTGTCTGTGACTGCTTCCCAGGCAATCCTAAAGGCCCCCATCTTCCTCTCTCTAAGGCCCCCATCTTCCTCTCTCTAAGGCCCCCATCTTCCTCTCTCTACAGGCTCTCTCTAGCCTTCCTCTCTCTAAGGCCCCCATCTTCCTCTCTCTACGGCTCTCTCTAGTCTTCCTCTCTCTAAGGCCCCCATCTTCCTCTCTCTAAGGGTTCTATTCTTCCTTCCTCTCTTCTTTCTATTTGGATTCTCCCTGCTTTTTGCTTCCAACCCTTTTACCTGCCATGCTCCCTCTCTTTCCACTGAACTCTCCACATCTTCTCTCTCATTCCCCTTGTTCTCCGATGTCCATCCCCACCCTCAAGATGAAGTGAGGCTGAAACTTAGAGCCCTGCCATGACCCAGAGTCGGGTAGGACAGCCAAATATGGTAGAGGGCCAGGCTGCTAGCTCCCAGATCCAGGAGTTGACAACCTATCACCAGCAGGTTAGGTGAGGAGTGGAAATCCATCCATTATGAATGAGTGCACCAGGTTGGTGGCGGGAGGACCTGGGATGGCTAGGAAAAGAGTGTTCTTCTACTCTGTCACAGGGTCCTAAAATTGAAGGACCTGTGCTGCAGAAGATCTCACGTCCTTCTCCAGGGAGCAATTTGGAGATGGGATGGTGGGGAGGAAAGCCAGACAGATACCAACTGTGAAGCAGTGAGGCAAGTGGGAGGAGGCATAATGCGCATGGGCAAGAGGCTGTCCTAGAAGAGGACTCTGCCCAGAACCCTCCGGGCAGAGCAAACGGCACCAGCCAAGGTTTCCGGATGACTACTCATTCTTGCACCAGAGAAGATGGGGTTTACAAGAAGGAAGGGGAAATTACAAGGCAGCCCATAAGGCCTGTGTGCCAGAAGTCAGACCAGGGACTAAGCTTCTCTGAGAGCTGTCTTCTAACAGGAAGCAGAGTGAGTCTAGTTGCCAACTAGTTCCCACTCCCTTCTGACGCCAACTTGCTCTGGATGCTACACTCTCCCGCACCACCCACTCCCTACCATCAACCACCACCCCTGAGCGCTCCTGTAACCTAGCTTCTTCCAGCCAAGCTCCTCCTTCCCACCCCACCCACCTCTGGCTGTGAGCTTCACCCCTTCCCTCACCTTCCCAGTTGCTTTGGCTCTGGCTGAGAGTCCCTCCTCCTTCCGCCAAGTTCCTCCCTCTCACCCGCCCCCCGTTTGGCTGTGAGCTCCGCCTCCTTTTGCAAAGCTCCTCCCCTACCCTTTTGCCCTCCTTCTCTGGCCGCGCCCTTTTGCCGGCGGCCCGCCCCTGCACTGCTCCTCCCTTGGCCCGGGTAAGCATCTCCTAATTTTGTTCTAGAAGATAGAAAACTCTTCGTGGGCATGCTCAACAAGCAGCAATCCGAAGACGACGTGCGCCGCCTCTTCGAGGCTTTCGGGAACATCGAAGAGTGCACTATCCTGCGTGGGCCGGACGGCAACAGCAAGGGTGTGTGTGTGTGTGTGTGTGTGTGTGTGTGTGTGTGTGTGTGTGTGTGTGCAAGCTTGGGAAGGATGCTAGCGCCGTCAGGTGGTCCTCTTGGAGACCGACCAATAGGGGAGAACACCCGTTCTGTCACTGTCTGAGTGGGCCTCTTCACATTTTATGCTCATCTGGGGCACATCCTCTCCACTCGCCCTGCCTGTGTGCAGATATCTCTCTCTCTGTCTCTCTCTCTCTCTCTCTCTCTCTCTCTCTCTGTGTGTGTGTGTGTGTGTGTGTGTGTGTGTGTGTGTGTGTGTAGTATATCTGTCTCTGTCTCTGTGTGTCTTTATTTCTGTCTTTCTGGGTTTCGGGGCCATGGCTCAGTCTGTTCTTTTCCTTCAGGGTGTGCCTTTGTGAAGTACTCCTCCCACGCTGAGGCGCAAGCCGCCATCAATGCTCTACATGGCAGCCAGACTATGCCTGTGAGTGTGGCCCCTCGCGGTTGTGTGCAGGGTCTCATCTCCCTTACCACTGTTTTTCGGATCAGGGTAGATTGAGGGAACCCACAAAAGACGGGATTGAGATTTAGTAACCCTGGGTGACCTCCGTACAGCACCCCACAGAGAGCATGGGACACAGGGGGGGGGGGTGAGAGGGGACGAAACAGGGCAGGGAACTGGGGTGAAGGCTGGGGTAGGCTGATCTCATGTGCTGCCCTGGCTACAGGGAGCCTCCTCCAGCCTGGTGGTCAAGTTTGCAGACACTGACAAGGAGCGCACGATGCGACGGATGCAGCAGATGGCTGGCCAGATGGGCATGTTCAACCCCATGGCCATCCCCTTCGGGGCCTACGGTGCCTACGCTCAGGCAGTAAGTGGGGGCAAGGGTGTGTGGGGATTTGTTCTGGAGCTCACCCGCACCAGCCCTAGAGAACAGGGATACCTACCCAAACATACTGCTCTGTCCGCAGGGTGAAGAGTCAGGTATGAACCCAGAAAGGGTAGCCTCAGGAATCAGAAGGAGAATCCAGGTGGGGGTGGCTGCCAGGAGGAGGTGGGGCTGCTGTCCTGACTTTCAAGGAGGGGTTGTTAGAGAAGGCCCTGACAGAGTAGCCAGATGGGTGGCCCTGCACCCCCAATCACCCCCAATCAATATGAAGGCTAGAAAGCACCAATGGGGTAATAGCCAGGTGGGCGTTTGGTCCTCATTATACAAACTCCACCCCCCCAGGGGTTTTTCCTCAGATCTTCTGGTCACTCCTGACAGGAGTTGTGTGAAGTGACCTCAAGTACCCACTTTTCCCCTGCCTCTGCCCACCAATTAATTTCCTCCACAGCTGCATCCTCTCTAACAATACCACCCTCTTCCACCTCCAGGCTTGTAGCCACCATCCCTGCATGGTGGCCCTGAGGTCCTCTAGGGCTCTGGTTCTAAACCTGCAAACACCACCCACTTTCTGAGCAAAGTCTAGCTTTGACCACTTACTGCAGTCTCTTCAGTCCCCACTCACCTTGTAATAACATTTGAGGGTCTAGTCATGCTTCTCCTGTCTCTTCTATATGACCAATCTGAACAGAGATTTACCATTAATTGTATACAACTGTATACATTCAACAAGTGTGGAGGAGCCTAGGTGTCATTTCCCACGATAACATACCTTACACACACCAGCTAGCACACAAAGTCAGTCCCTTCCCCTACCCTGCACAACTTAGATCACCAAATGTCTTACTGCTCCTTGTTTTAAGCACTCGGTTCCCATGGAAATGGAGACTAAGGCAGGCAAGGAGGAGGTCTCAGAAGTTTGTCTCTAGGTGCTGAGCCCCTGGTGGGAGGGCTGCCTCCCTGGAAGCGTGTGATATTTTTTCCACTCCTTCTGTCCCAGCTGATGCAGCAGCAAGCAGCCCTTATGGCATCGGTTGCACAAGGAGGCTACCTGAATCCCATGGCTGCCTTCGCTGCCGCCCAGATGCAGCAGATGGCAGCCCTCAACATGAATGGCCTGGCAGCCGCTCCTATGACCCCAACCTCAGGTAAGACAATAGGTCCCTGGCCTGGGGAGAGTAGCAGGGCCCAGGCTGGGGCATTGTTACATTAGGGCAACTAGTGGCTCATTGTATAATAAGAACACACAGGGTCTAGGCCCCAGTAGCTTGTTTAAAAAAATGTTCTAATCTGTAGGGTCCCAAGGGAAGATGAGATGTAGACCCCATGGAGTCCACAATAGGGTTCCAGCGTGGGACAGTTTCTCTCAAGTTGCTGCCCTTGCCTAAGAAAAAAATCCATCTTTATCTGTAATAACCAACAATGTCTGGAAAGAAAGTGTGACATGATAACATCTCCATTCAAAGCCTAGCATATCTCTGCCTGTTCAGTTGCCTTGGCCTTCCTCTTTAAGCCAACCTTGATTAATGGGCACGTTCCAAGAAACTACACAACCAGCTAGAGAACTACAAGAGTCATCCACAGATAGGCACTAAAATCAACCAATCTCACAAAACCTGTTTTTGGTTGGCTCTTAGCTCTTGTCTAGTACATTTTGCTCCTATCTCTAGGATATCTGGCAATGTCCACAGGCATTTTTGTTTGTCACAACTCAGAAGAGAGAGTGCTACTATCATTTTATTGTATAGAAGCCAGCAATTGTGAGATTGCTTCACATCTCACAATACACAGGTCAGCTCCCTAAAGGAATTGTCTGGCTCTAAATGACAACTGTGTCAACACTCAGAAGCCAAGGCTCTAAATCCAAGGATGGGCTGATATGGTGGGCTCTCCTTTACCAAGCTCTCCCGCTCACTGTGCCAGACCAGAGCAGTGATCTTTCCGAGGTCTGTTTCTTTGACAGCTCAAAGCCACACAAGACTGAGATATCTCTGGGCTCAACTAGAGCATCACCCTAATATTTATTTCTGGTTCCCAACTTCAGCGACACACATGGAACCTGGAAGTAAGTTAGCCTCTGCTACAATAGGAAGGCTCTTTCCACCCTCTGGGGCCTCAGGACAATAACAGTCCTACATCTTTGTATCTACTACCTGGAATATAGAAGGTGCATGGTATTGTCATCTGGTCCTTACTTAGTCATCACTACCACCAAGACCACCACTATTGTTTCAGGTGGATGAAGCCAAATAGGGCTGAGATTGGACTCCAAACTGTCCTTTCTCCCTCAGTGTAGGAATCTAGAATTCTCCTCCAGTTGAATAGCAAGACTTCTTGGAGAAGCAGATAAGCCTTTCACAGACCCCAAAAGGATCAGCTAATCCTTACTTAGGTGGAGTGGGCAAAAGCTACTGAAAAAGAACAAAGGGCCAAGTGTAGTCTGTGTGCACTAGATTCAAGGATAGCCATAAGTAGTTAGAGAAATCTTCATGGGGTGAGGGCTCTGCCTTGAACAATGAATAGTCTGGGCTAAATAAAGGTGTCACATTCAAGAAATTAAGCAAAGGCATAGTTTACCAAGACAGGATGGCTATGTGAAGTCCAAGTCTGTCCCCAGGCCCTGGGAGCTAGCAAAGTAGAACTCCATGGCTCAGCTGTCCTTACCTTTGCTGTCCTTGCCTTACCTTTTCCCCAACCCCCCTATAATCCCCAAACCAGGTGGCAGCACCCCTCCAGGCATCACTGCACCAGCTGTGCCTAGCATCCCATCCCCCATTGGGGTGAATGGCTTCACCGGCCTCCCCCCACAGGCCAATGGGCAGCCTGCTGCGGAAGCTGTGTTTGCCAATGGCATCCACCCATACCCAGGTAAGCATGTCTAGTGGCCCTTCCTTCCTACTTCTCATTCACTTTTAAAAGAAGGAATGCACAACTCCAGCCCTCTGCCTGTTCCTTGGTGGAACCACAGATGTGATCAGAGAGGGCCGGCCACCTTCCTGTTTCAGAGTAATGAGAGAGAAAGGACCAAAATTCTAACATGGGAAGTGCCTTCTGATCTGTAAGGAAAAAAATTCTATTCCGGGGCTGCAGGAAGTAAAGACACTAGAAGCAATTGTACAACTCAGATAGAGAGGCCAGTAAATGCAAATTGATTGTGAACTTGAGCTGTAATAACTAGAAGGGGAGAAGCTAAAAGAATAATCACATTTAGTGATAAGTAACAAAAGATTCATTGCGGGGAAGAAACTGGAGTTATTCTGACTGACAGTCTAGCCATTATATCCCAGTCCAGTCTTTGGTGCATACAAAAATATAGTTCAGCACTCCGGACAGCTCTCGCTGGACAGCTCCTGTTGGACAGCTCCTGGGTCTCTCAGGAGGTAAAATTAAAGAGGAGGCCCATCTCTTGTTGCCACCGATGGAATTCGTTCCTGCCAAATTGGTGGTCCTCACAGAGCAAGAGTGTGCAGCTGTCCTGAAGCACTTCTTCCTTCTCATATGACATATATCAGGGCAAGGAAGCAAGGTTCAGAGCTAGTGAAACATAATAGAGTCCTCTTTTCTGGATATCAGAGGACGGGGGTCATAAAAACAACAACAAAAACAAACAAACAAAAAACAACAACAACAAAACAAACAAACCAGTTTTCACTGGATAGTAGAATTTCAGGATGTTGGATTGTCCTCTAGGAGGTCAAAGCTCAGTTGAGAGCACAATACAATATCTACCTTCCTACTCCGTCTTTAACTAGCACACGTAAGTCTGATCAAGAGGGGATGTTCTTATTCAAGATGGCCAAAGACTCAAGTGAAGAGTCCTGCAGGTTAGATGACAGCAGAAACATTCCTGATGAGGAGGAACTTATTGAACTTTAACAGTGAGGGTGAACAGCAAGTACAGCTCTAGGGTGGGCTATCCTGGAGACCCAGAGGCAGGAAAGGATTACTTAGAAGAAGCAAGGTTGTTAGGAAGTAGGCCCAATATGACAAGACCAGTCTGCAGTAGATCCACCTAAGTGGGGCAGATTCATGCTCATCAGAATCCACTATGAGTCTTGACAAAACCTAGAACCACTTGGAGGTTTTGATTTCACAGTCTTGGGGGCAGCTGCAGTATAAAAAAAAAAGTGTAGCAAGAGGAGAGTGTGATCTCTGTGCTGGAGGAACTTGGGAGAGAACTGTTTAGCTTTGGACACAGTTGGCTTTGACTCCAGTGCTTGTCTTAGATGGCAGCCTTAAGTCCGCAGAGGACTGGAGAAGGACTTGTTAGAGCCCAGGGGATCTGGTGTGCTGTTTAAGCATGAGGACTCCTGCCTGGCACAGGTGGTGGAGGAGGGGCTTGGCATGCTGGAAGCAGAAGTGACTCTGCTAATCTCAGGCCTTTCGGCTGGGAGATGCCACCCCTGGCACATCTGGGCATCTTCTTCCTCTACTCTTCTCTACTTCTAAGCCCATCTGGATCGCCAATTCCTTCCCCACAGTCGCTGGCATCTGTGAACCATTTCTCTGATGGAGTTTGGACACGTTTCTTTCCCCCATTTGTAACAATCTGCCATATCCCATAAACAATCCCCTGACAGAACCAGAGGAGGGGTGAAGGGAAGGGAAGGAGAAAAGTAGTACATTAAAAAATTAATTTACCATTTTTAAATGCAGAGTTTGAAGCCACTCTAATGAGCGAGATCCTTCAAAATGTTCACTCTTTGGCAGTTACTAATGAGGTCGTTAGGCAGAAAAGCAGAGAGGGGTCTCTGTGTGCTGCTCTCCAATTCTTAGTCCCAGTAGCTTCTCTGATCACCCATCTTGCTCACAACCATGTTGGGAGTACATAATATGTGTACTTTTTGTTTTGTTTTGTTTTTGTTGAGGCAGGGTTTCTCTGTGTGGCCCTGGCTGTCCTGCAACTCACTTTGTAGACAAGACTGGCCTTGAACTTACAGAGATCTACCTGCCTCTGCCTCCCAGAGTACCGGGATTAAAGGCCTGCATCACCACTGCTCAGCAATGTGTATGGTTTTAAGGGCCATGCACCACCCTCAAAGGACTGGCTTTGACAAGTACCAAGAACTACTTATACTTTCTTCCCTGTGCACTGTTTACTGAGCCCCTAGCAATATGCTGGGCACTGCCTCTAAGTTGTACAGATTGTTTTGCACATTGACTTCAAACTTTGTTCTCTTAGAAAAGGGCACAGTTTCTTACATGCATAAAGGTGTTTTGTGGGTGAGCATCTTGAAAGACCAAGACAACATACCTGATATGGCTGTCACTCTAGAGAGCTTGGAAGAAAGCAAAGGAGAAAGGCAAGAGGAAGCAGGAATTAGTTTTGCCAAGCATCACAATCTGGAGTTCTTGGCTCTAGTCTCCACCATGGAGAAAGGCAGGGGCTGGCAGGAAATAGTTATGATTCCTCTTTAGTTCCCTCCTGCCAGGCAGAACTCCACCCGTGGAGTCTGTCTGTCTCTAAGGACCTTTGTCCAAGGCTATTCTAGAGACTCCTCTGAACCCTAGGTGCCATTACCCATGTGGAATTTTATTCAAAGACTCATGGACAAGAGCTCAAAATTTGGAAGTGGGCGTTCTCCTTATTAAAGGCGTCGAGGCCTGATAGGCAGTTTGCTTGGCTGGGCTGGGTCAAAGGACCCAGGGGCTTTTCCCCTGCCACCTAGGGTTATCCAGTTTATTCCAAACACAGTGGAGCTGGATCTCTCCTGTATTTGGACCTCTATCTCCATGCATCTCCCCGGGCCTCATGTCAATCATGGTCTCTGTAACCAAGGGTTGCACCCACTGCTGGTCCATACTTAATTCTTGTACTGATATCTCCTCAGCACCAACAAAGGCCAGAGACAAAGCAAGTCTTTCCCCAGTTCAGTTACCCTGAGGGTCATCCAAGGTGCTTCTGTTCTTTTGGCTCCTCCATTTCTCCAGGAGGTTATCTTTCTCCAAGCTCTATTGGCAGACCCAAGGGAAGTGATTCATTTTGATCTTTATTGCTATGGTAATGGCCATGATAAAAAGCAATGTGGGATGAGGGTTTGTTCTGGCTAAGCGTCCTGGGCCACAGTTCACGGAGGGGAACCAAGGCAGGAGCCTAGGGCAGGAGCTGAAGCAGAGGCCATGGGGAAGTGCTGCTTGTTGGCTTCCTCCCCAGGGCTTGCTCAGCCTGCTTTCTTATAGAACCCAGGGCCACTTTCCAAGGGCAGCACTACCTACTGTGGGCTAGGCCCTCCTGCATCAGCCATTAATCAAGAAAATGCCCTGCAGTCTTTCTTCACAGTCAGTCTGATGGAGGCATTTTCTCAATTGAGGTTTTTCCTTCCCAGATGAGTCTAGCGTGTGTCACATTAATAAAAATCCAACCGTCACAGGGACAGTGTCCGGGCGTGTCCTCCCAGAGCTCTTCTTTCACTCATATGGGCTCTGCAAGCTGTACTTTCATTCACTGCTGCTACACTCTGCTGGGGCCCCGATCTGAGCACCCTTGGCTCCTCAGCCCCTCTCCAGGACCAGGGCTCTCACGTCTTCCCACCAAAGACCTCACACAGTCTGGCATCTCTCCTCAGCCTTCACAAACTTCTGCACGGACTGATCTCAGCCCCACCCCAGGCCAGCTTCACTGTACATTTCCCAGCTTGAGTAGACAACTCAGTACCTACTTAGGGTTAGGGTGCAGAACAGAAAACTCCAACAGGATCTAGCTTTCAAGGTGCCTGTCTTAACTGTCCTGCCTTGGGGCCAGCCTGGGGTGACCAGAGAGGGCAGCAAAGCCGCACTGGTGTCCCTCTGGGCATGGTGGGGGCAGGGGCTAGCCTGGGTAGACTTCACTGACCTCTGATTTCTTGGCTTCCTGCAGCACAGAGCCCCACAGCAGCAGACCCCCTGCAGCAGGCCTACGCTGGAGTACAGCAGTATGCAGGACGTTAGTATCCATGCAGCCTCTTGGCTCTTCCATCAACCTAACCATCTCTCCACACACTGCACCTTCCCTCTCCAGCCCTGGTCCCAGCCCTGCATGGGGTGGGGAGGGAGTAGTGGGGGGCTCTAAATGAAGGAGGAAGGGTGGGTCTAGCACAAATGCTCTCTTTCATCACCACCCAGGCTGCCTTCCACTTCACATTCTCATCTGGCACCTTCATGTAAAGGTAGAGGGAAGACCAGAACTCCCTGAGTTAGTAAGCCAGAGTAAAGCCCTCCCTCTAACCAAAGCTTTCCCAACCAAATACAGAGATACTCCTGGGGAACACAATCCACACTTCATTGGTGGCTCCTTGCTTCCCACCAGGTATCATCTGAGCAGAAACAGATCAGCTATGATTGCTCACTGTTCCAGATTAGACCTGCCTATCCCTGGACACACACCCATGGACATGGACACACACACACACACGGACACACACACACACACACACACACACAAAGACAGAGAGACAGAGAGAGGCATACACATGCACAAAAGAATCTCTGATCATCATACTGACACTTCCCCTCCATAGGCATCCCAAACTGAGAGCTCCTTTCTCAGACGTGCCTAAGCTGCTGCACACCCAGTGGCTGGTAGCTCTTGCTAACTGACCCTGAACTCTCTCTCTTTATCCTGGCCTCCCACCCTGTCTGTGTCTCTCTGCCCCCTGTCACCATCTCTTGGCTTTCTCTTCGGCTCTTCAGCAGCTGCCTACCCTGCTGCCTATGGTCAGATAAGCCAGGCCTTTCCTCAGCCACCGCCAATGATTCCCCAGCAACAGAGAGAAGGTGAGTCTCAGCACCACCCCCCAACTCCATGAAGAGGCCACTTACCTGGCCTCTGGCCTCCCCAGGTCTCAACAGGACCTTGGTTAGATGTGTGCATGGAAGTGGGGGGGGGAGAGTTAGTGGGCTAGAAGAGGTACTCTCCTATTCTTACAAGGAGGTATGCATCTTGTGAGAAGCCCTCAAATCAAAGTAGCCTGGTTCAGGCCCAGGTGACAGGACACCATGCCCCTGGGGCCAGCAAGCCAATCCCAAAGCACCTTCCCCACTCCCCACTCTGATTTGCTAGTGGCCTGACACAGCTCACAAACAAGTGCATTGGTCTTTAAAAAACCAACCCTTGAGAATTTGAAGGTTATTTTCCTTCTGCAGCAAGCTTTAAACAGTCACTCTTGAACAAGACCTACCTAGCAGAAGTTAATATACTTGCTGGTGAAGGCCTTATCTCTGCTCCAGGGAGTCCTCATCTTTACAGAGAACACACAGGTCCGTCCCCCTTAGTGATCTTCAGAGGTCCATCTGCAGCGTTCCCAAAGAGTGAAAACAGAGCTGGGGAGTGAGGCTCCAGCTCCAGCAATGGGGCAGCCTTTGCAACACTGGGCACTGAGAAAGACGGTGGCTAGCCTGAGGTGGTCAGGAGAGAGAGGTGCTTCAGGAGTAGAATCCACCACCCTGGAGGGGGAGCACTTGACCAGCGTGGAGGGCACAGAGAAATGAACACTCGTGACTGGAAGGGCCAGGCACAGGAGGCTAGTTTATCCTGTAGAGATACATGTACCTTCCCGGGTGATCGGGAGAGAAAGGTGGCATTCCTGTCAGGCTCCACAGGTATCGTGAGGTGTGTCACGGTGACAGTGCAGGTCCAGTGACAAGGTTGTATGGAGAAGTCAGAGTGTGGGCAGAGCAGGACAAGCAGAGATTCATAATGGCACTCATCAGTTTTCCTCCCAGTATCCAAACAGCCTCAGAAAGCAGCAAGATAGGAAACTATATAGACAATGGTCCCAGAGGCCCTGTCACAAGCTGAGCTTGTGAATCAGAAACACCAAGAAGACCCCTGTTAAGAGTGACCTGTAACAAGGCCACCAAATCTGTCCCAGAAGACTGCACGGCAAATTCTAGTTGTTTCCGAATGTGGCCCCTGAAGCAGACTGTGCCAGTGATCTGAGGTTTAGGTCACTCCCAGAGGACTTTGGGTACACACTGATCTAGAGCCCTTTGGTGAGAGAGCCCCCCCACACACACACACAGATGCCAGCTGAATGGTTGCAGGTATTAATTTCAACTACACCCTTCTGGGTCTGACTCCTGTTAGGAGTGACACAAGTCACTCCACTCCATTTACACAGTGAGGACAGAGAGTACAATTCCTTAGAGAGATGTATCACACTCACTTAGGTCTGCTTTCCTGTACCCCATGCAGCAAATGTCTACACACAGCCCTTCTTCACCCAGTTACCATCTCCACTGAAGCCTCATAGGGCATGACCCCATGCATCAGGGTCCCCATCCCCAGGGCCCTAAAGGTCTGTGGGACCTTCATGTTCCTTACCCCATGCCGTGAAGTGGCTGAGTACCAACTGGGCTCCCATTAGTGAGTTGGTCAAGAGGAGCAGCCCCTCAAGGCCTGTTTTACCCAGAGAGCCCTTAGGACCTATCTTCCTGCAGCCCAGACCTTCCTCAGTTAGGTCAGAACCACAGGGCTGGACCAGGAGTCCCAGTGTTGCTGACCCAGGCCTAGAGCAGAGAGCTATGCCCAAGGCCTCAAGGCTTTTATAACTTGCTTACCTCTCTCTGTAGTCAGATCCCTTCATAACTCTGTCTTAAAGGCCTAGGAATCCCTAAACTCGGCTATACATGAGTGTACGAGCGTGCTTGCATGTGTGCGCGCATGCGCGCGCGCGCACACACACACACACACACACACTGCAGATTAGTGCCATCTAACCCAACACACATAAATGACAGCACTCACTACTACTGGCCTTAAACTCAGTTCTCCTTCTCCTTCCTGACCCTTTTACCCTTTTTCCTGCAATTCCCACTCTCTGCTAGCTCTGACCTTCCCCTCCTACCTCTTCCAGCTCTGTGAAACCCTGCTCCCTATACTAGGCCAGAAGAAATCTCAGGGAGACAGAGTTGGGGGAGAGGATCTAGAGGTGTTCTGGAGGAGTATGACTTAGATTGGTCCTCAGTAGTGGTTTCTGCCCCGAGGTGGGGGTGGGGGGGTCCTACCTTTTCTGGGGACCATCAAGAGGCACATTCAGCTGGCATGCACTAGCAACAACATGGCATGGTTGGAGCAGGCAGGATAAGGGAAGGGCAACCAAAGTTTGGGCGATGGAAAGGAAGCACATCTACTCCTGGTTCTGAATGGGCCACCCACTGGCAGAGGTTCTGGAGGGATGGGCTACCAGGGACAGAAGAGAGAGGTCAGTGGCTTATCAGATGGCTTTGGTGGACAAGAAAATCTCCAGGCTCTGGGCCAGGAATGGGAAGGTAATTATAAGGAAGGAGGAAGACAGTGGGAGAGCAGAAGAGCATCCAGAGTTAGTTATTTGTCCCCCGTGTGGATTATCTTTGCAGCCCCACTGGTCCTGGGTGAGTAGGACAGTAGCTTCTGGCAGCCTAGGTCATGTCGGTGTCTTATGGCCTTCACTGGAGCTCATGTTTAGACATCATTACTGAAGTGACCACAAGTCCACCTCAAAATCTAAGGGAGAGATGGCAGATGCTTTGTAAGATGACAGGACACAAACTTGGGAAGATTTTCATTTAAATAGTAAACACTGATCCTCCTGACCACTGCAGAAGGAACACAGCTTTATCTGGAAACTGCAGGAATACAAAGTCCTGAGGAAGCCTGGCAGGTTTATGACAGATGACAGGTGAAACGTAGAGCTCACATTATAAAAGCTACAGCCTGGGTTCATATCCTGGCTTCACCGGGCAGCCCCACCGCAGCTGTGTCTATGGAATGACGTTTCCTCAGCTGCAAAGTGGTGACAGTGTTTCTCAGTCAGAGGCTGCTGGGTAGGTGGCGTGATTCCCACTCTAAGTACTTAGGACGGTCCAAGGATGCCCCAGTGCGGAAGTGTTCTGGCTCCTGTTCCAAGTTGAGGTGAGAGGAGGCAGCTCAGGGGCTGTCAACCCTGGAGCCTCCCTGAGGCCTTTCCTGTGCTGGATCAGGGAGGGAAAATCTTGCTTTTGGTCATCAAGACTAGGAGGGTGCAAGACCTGCAGCCGGGCATCTGGGCCTTTGAAAGGGATGTGTGAAGACTGCAGGCCAGACAGGGACTGTCCCTTGGGCTCTCTGGCCAGTCTGAGCCGAGCCTGAAAGGGAGGGAGAGTGAAGTGCCATCAGCATAGGATGAGGGCCATATTCTTGGCCCTCCCCCCAGCAGGGACTGGGCAGGAGGGAGTACCCCCAAACTCTCAGCACATTTCCAGGGACACAGCTGAGCAGGCCTTGGCATATTCACCCACATTTTCTCATTGACTCCGCCTGCCCTCTCAGCCACACGGCTGCCCACTACTGCTCTTTTTGACAAAAGACTACCAAGGCACAGAAAGATTTGGTGACTTGCCCAAGGCCAACTAGAGATTGGAGCCCACAGCTGGGGCTCAATAAACTCCCATTCCTGGAAGTTGAAAGAGCCCCACCTCCTAGCCCCGCCTCTCCTGTCCTGCTGCACTGCTGACTCACCTTTCCTCTCTCTCTCTCTCTTCCCCCACCCTGCCATCCCTCCCCCCCCCCCCCGCCAACCCTCTCCCCTCCCCTCACTGCAGGGCCAGAGGGCTGTAACCTGCTCATCTACCATCTGCCCCAGGAGTTTGGGGATGCTGAGCTGATGCAGATGTTCCTCCCTTTCGGTAATGTCATCTCCTCGAAAGTGTTTGTGGATCGGGCGACTAACCAAAGTAAATGCTTTGGTGGGTAAAGATAACAAACCATTCAGCTTCACCTAGGATGGGGGCTGCTCCCACCGACTCCTCCTGCTCCTTCACACTGCCCCAGGTGCTCCTGGGCCCAGCCTCCATCTCCCAGTCCTTTTCTTCTGTTCTGCTCTTCCTCTGGCTTCTCAGCTTTCCCTACTCACAGTCACTTGGCTCCTACCTCGCAGTCCCTTCCCAGCCCCCAAAGCCATGTTGTAGCCACCAAGAAAAGGAAGGGGTCACTGTGGGTGGGAGTATAGCATGCGGAGCCAGAGTAGACTCATCTTCCCAACAGCCTCTCATGCTCAGAGAGTCTGGTTTGAGCCCTAGGGTGAATGATTCAAGGGGACACAGTCAGCCCAAGGAGGCTCTCTCTACCCATGCGCCCCTTAGCCCTCTCTCCATCTCTGCCCTGCCACCTTTCCTATGCCTGCCCCATTTCTTGCTCCTCCCATGCCGTGCAGTGACCCCACCCTTACACCCACTTCAGGCCACCAGAGTGGGCATTGTTGAGGAGCCAGGAGGAGATTGCCCTCAGGAAATTTAAGTTCTGAGTGCAATAGAAACCACAGCTACATAGCAGCAGCCAGCTATGCTGAGGAGCAAGCAATGTAGCAATAAGGAAAGCAGAAGAGGCTAGAACAGGCACTTGCCTGCAATGAGGAGAGGTAAAGGACAGGAAATGAGGCTTCAGAAGATGAGAGGGCCACACTACTAGCGAGGGAGGTCTGCACTGGACTTCTGTCATTCTGCGAGGAGTCTTTGCCTGGCCATATTTTGTTTTGTTTGATAAATTTGGCACCCTTATCCAAAAGTTCCAGATACCATGAGATCCTCTCTCATGCTTACATCTCTTCTTTCAACTCCTTCCTGGTCCATCGCTCTCCTTTTCATTTACCTCCTTCAGAGCATCCTTCTAGAGCAACATCTAGGGCATGTCTCATTATGAATTAAGATGATGCATATACGACCAAACAGGGAGTCGGTTCCGTTTGTGCTTCACTTCTCAGTGTAAAGAGCACTGCTATCAGCTTCTAGCCATATCACGTCTGATTTATTCTCTATCCCTCTGGACACAATCCAGTTTTCAAAGTCATTTCCCCAATGTCTACCCCCAAAACTTCTGCTTAGTTCCTTAGTCCACTTATGCTCCCCAGGGCCAAGGTTTCTTTTCTGTTTTTGGGAACCTTGTCTGTACACCTCTACTCAGTTCCTTCTCTTCTAAGGCTTATGCCATATCTCATAGGCTTCTTCTAGCCCTCTGCTCCCCCTTAAGCTCACTCCTATAAGAGAGACTCCTGCCCTTCCCCCAAGACCTTTAGTGCCAGATCTCCAGTGATCACTCATAGGCAAGTCATTGAGCCTCAGTGCCCTTGTTTATGAAGTAGGGATGCTGCAGTGATCCCTAAGTGGTTCTGTAAGGGCCTATGAGATGGCTAAGACACAGGCTTGGCTGGAACAGACCTTCTGTAAGGGCCCCAGTCCCTTTCTTATGAAAAGTGTGTGGGAGTAACCATGGTCCTGGGCTAACAAGCACCCCCTAGAGGCTGCATCACCTCTGTAAGTAAAGCCTTCCAGGGCTGCATGAGGGAATGGATAGCGTAAATGCCCCCTACCTCTGAGGCTTTTCAGTGTTTGGGAGGCAGGGACACCTTGAGAATGGGATAGGAGGTCCTCTGGTAAAGAAAAGCAGTAAACATGGAATGTAGTGCCCAGAGCCCTAAGCACAGGGGTGCCCAGTCTTGAGGCAGATGCTCCTTGCCCGGATGGGGGAGGGCCTGTTCCCTGATCTTAGAAACACTCACAGATCCTTGGCTCCTAGAAAGGTGGGTTGCTGCTTCTCTCCAAGCATCTACCAAGTGGCTGTCCCTCCTTTTGGCTTCACCCCAGATGGCTTTGAGCTCCTCTCTCTTCTCTCAGCTTGGCCCTTCTTCCCTCCAGAAACACCCACCAAACCTGAGTGTCCCACTAGAGTCGGGACCAGAGGTGCTCATGTGTGAATGGAAAATGGGTACAGGCAGGCCAGGGCAGAGGCTTGTCTTTGCTCTCCTTCCGTAGTTAGTATGGCGACTTTAGTCACCAGACACACGGGCCAGTGGAGGGAGATGGCTGGAGCGGATGCAGGGCTGGAGGCTAATGGCCACCTGACTTGGTGTACATGTTGATACTGATTTTGTTGCTCTGAGCCCGACTCTAATCACATATGCATGCACATGTGCTCAAGTGAGACACATAACACCCTTTCCTTCATCTTTCATGATACATGGCTGCATGAATAAATTGAGCAAAGCAGAAGGGGGACAAGAGGAAGAGAGAGTAGACAGTGTCTGGGAGAGAGTGAAAAGGGAGGAGTGAGCAGAAAAGTGAGAGAGAAAAGATCAGGAGAGCAAGGGTGTAGTTATCTTAGGATGAAGTCAGGGCAGGACTCAAGGGACACAGCAAAACCCAGGGAAAAGCAGTTACTTTGCATGGTTTCTGGCCACACAATGACTTTTTTTTTTTTTTTCCCCTCTCTCCCAGCCATCTGGAGAGTTCTAGGTATAGCCTGGCCATCTCAGCCAAACTAGGTTTCACTGGTTTTATAGGACCAAGTCCATTTTTACAGAAGATAAACTTCTGAAACAGAATAAATGAAGGTTTATTTCCTGGAGAATATGTGGCAAGAGGGCATGCTTTTAGTTGAAGCTCCTCATTCTGGTCCCTAGTGGTCTGTCCCAGTGGACCACAGAAACCTCTTTCCACACACAGTACAAGGTGTCTGTAGGAGGAAATGCGTTCAGAGGCGATTTCCCAACCTAAGCCACGACCTGGTCTATCTTCGGGTGTTGGTCGCAAGTGAAGCACAGGGCAGAACAGTAGTGGAAGGTGTTCCTCATTCCTAGGAAAGGCTGGTGCAGGACAAGTCACATGGTGTGTGCTTAGCCAGGGAGCTCCCCACAGTGCTGAGGGCTGCGCACAGCCCCAGGGGTGAGGCGGGGTTGGGGGGTTGACCGGGCGGTGGAGTGGCTTCCCCGACGTTCCTCCCTCCCGGCCCTCGCACTCCTCTCTCTCCCCAGGCCGGCACCCCGTGCCCTCCCGCTGCCAGGCCCCCTCCTGTCAGGGAGGACAGTGTGCAATAAGCTCCTCCGCCCGCAGGTGTGTCCGCCCTCTCCCGCGGGAGGAGAGGGCCGAGGTGGCGGGCCGGCCGGGGTGGGGGGCGGGCGGGCGCCGGCATCACCGGGAGCCGAGGAGCAGCCGAGCCCGGGCCGGGGCGTCAGGCCGGGAAGGGCCTGCGGGCGGAGGGGCGGGGCTGAGGCCGGGCCGGGCCGGGGGCGGAGCCTCGAGCCCCGCCCCTCCCCTCCCCTCCCACCCGCAGCGGCCCCGGGCGGCCCCGTGGAAACCCAGGCCCTGGTCCCTCGTGTCTCGCCAGGCTTCGTGAGCTTCGACAACCCGGCCAGCGCGCAGACCGCCATCCAGGCCATGAACGGCTTCCAGATAGGCATGAAGAGGCTCAAGGTGCAGCTGAAGCGGCCCAAAGACGCCAATCGCCCGTACTGAGCGCCGGCGGGAGCGTCCCCCGGGGGAGACCAGGACTCGCACAGGTAACTAGGGGCAGACGGGAGGTTTGGATGGACCCGTCGCCTTCTCGGGCCTTCCTGGGCCCCGCCCTTACCTGTGGCTTGGACCCGATGCGCCCTGATCAATCTACTCCAGGCTCAAGGCCTACATCATAGACATAGGGTTAAGGTCATCCTGGCAGACCCAAGGCTTGGCTATGCCCTCTGTTTTCCCAGCCACGAGGGGCAGAAGTATAGAACCTCTGAGAAGGTGAGCAGGCCTTGGGCCTGCGCCTTCGAGCTCCCATTGTGGTCCTGGTAGGCAGGTGGGCAGACAGCAAGCTCAGGCCCTGCAGTGACAGACCCTCAGGTTGAGCCTTCGCCCAGGCTCCCTGGCTCTTGCATGCCCAGGTCTGCAGGCTTGCTCCTTGGCTTCTCTACCCTGTAGCTGCTCTCGCTCAGCCACGACAGGAGGGCCAGGGGTTTTTCAAAGGAACTGTAGCAAAAAACGCAGCAGGAGGACACACAGCCTCTGAGGAAGGGCAGACACAGTGTTGGGAGTGGGGGCCCTGCTTGCCGGATAGAGGCAGTTAGCCACTCCCTTTTTGGATTAAGTGCTCCAGGGGACAGAGCAGATTGCTGGGAAAGGAATGGAGGATTGCACCAGGCTATCAAGTGTACCTCTACCAGATCCCCCGCTGCTACCCTCCCCAGTAATGTCAGCTTAGTCACAGACCAGAGATGAAGGCCACATTAGGCCTCTTCTTGCTCAGGTTGCTCCACCCCACTCCTTCCTCCTTTTATTCAGCAGCACTGTGCCTCAGGCACTGTGTTGGGTACAGGGGAAAGTTGGAGAAAGATTGCCTAGTATTGGTAGGTATGGGAATGGTAGCAAACTGAGAAGTAATGTAGCCAGAATTGTCAGGCCAGTGAGTTGATATTGGAGCAGACTTGAGAAGTTGATGGAGGGAGCATCTGGGGATGAATGGCGAGGTCAGAGGCAGCATGTCTAAGGAGCAAGCAGGGAGGGCTGAGAGGTAGGAGAGACCCTGCAGGCCACTGTGTGGATTTGGGATTTGGCCCTCCTTTGGAGTGGTAAAGGGTAGCCTGCTGTTATGCTGACTCTAGGCTGTAAGGCTTGATGCTGAGATCAGGGCAGGGCAGGCACAGTGGATGCTTAGACATAATTTGAAAGTAGAGCCAAAGATGCTATTCCTGACACATTAGAAAGTGTGGAGACACTCACGATTCAGCCCTAGTGATAGGAGAGCAGGGTCAATTAGATCAGGCGAAGTAGGAGTTAAAATGTCTAGTGGTGTTTCAGGGTTAGGAGTGTGGGAGGGCATCTCCAGATTCCCAGGCTCTCCTAAAGTTCACACTTCCCTTCAGGGGCATAGGCACCAACAGCAGAAGACCCTTCTGTACCAGCTGGAGCAGGGGATCTTCCCCTCTGGGTGAACTTTGAGCCAATACCCTGTAAGCCCGAAAGAGCAAAGCTGACTCTGGCCTCCTCTCTCCCCAGTCACTGACAATTTCTGCCTTATGTGTGCATATGGACATGTTGGTCCACAGAATCTGAGCACCATATTGTGCTGGGCATTAGACTTGGGGCTGAGGATACAGAGTAATGCACATACAGACACCAAGTTGAAGCCAGAAGATGGTTGTGCTCCCAGGGAGGGACAACTGGGTCATAAAACTCTTTCTGGACATGGAATACTTCCTGAAATAAGGAGGGTGCTTTGTGGCGCATGCCAGGCTTCTGCCTCCTCACTAATGAACCTTGATTTTGGAGTTATCATTGGACTTGGAGGAACATGTTGATACTTTTGCTAGCAGCTCTTGTCCTACCCTTATGGCCTGAGCAAGGGCTGACCTCTGAGTCAGAAACTCCTAAATGAAGAGTGGAAAAAAGCAAGTGTTCTGTGTGGGACATGAAAGTAAGAAGTGGACCACAGGGCAGATAGGTAGATCCAGCTGGCACTCAGACTTGGGAGGAGGTCTTCCACCAGGAAATACAAAGGCCATGAAGATGCCAGTTGTGATTCCCTATCCCATAGGAAGTATCAGAATTCTTACATCACAGGTGAGCACAGAGGGATTAAGTGACTTGCCCATCAGCCAGTTAGCAATAGAGGTAGGATTTGAAGCCAGAAGCCTAGTTCCCTTCAAGTAGACAGAAAAGAAAACTACTGCCCTCATCACAGCTCTGCTGACCCACAGCACCCTGACTTCAGAAGGCAACACTGTATGACTTCTTTGGAACCAGCCATCTGTTTACCTCCTCCCTAGGATACACAGTGTTAAACTGTGATATAACTCCCATGATCAAGTTACCTTTTAGTTTTCATTCTGATAGTATTTAGTGGCACTACCTTTGTAGCCCAAGAGTATGGATACTGTAGTAGGAGGGTTCTAAGAGAAAATGGAGCTATTCAAGGAAGTTGTCAGGCTGCCAATAGGAGGAAACAGCATATACACAGGCAACTCAAAGAAATGTACTGCTATAGGTCAGGGGAAGGTGTTTATAACTGATGAAGTGTAAGCTGGAGCTATTCGTGGTTAGGACAGGGAAGTCTGAGTTGCAGCTTGAAGGACCAGGTAGAGCTAGGAGCAGTCAGGTGATGAGGAGGTGACCTGGCACCTTGTAGTAAGATGGTATATGCAAGCAGGCTTGGTGGTCCAAGGCCAAGTCAGAGCCACTGTAAGACATATCTGGGGAAGAGAGATTCAAGCAAAGTAGCCAGGCAACTTGGCTAGGTAAGGCTCCACAGACTGAGGTCCCAATAGGGTGGGGGACAGCAAGGCTCTCCTCCCTTGCCAGTTTCCTGCCTCCACTGGCTATTTGGGCCTGCTGTGTGTGCCCAAAGTGTACAAAGCTGGATGATAGATTGGTGTTTGGGTCATCTATGGCTAGAGTCAAGCTATTTTAGATAGTGTATCCGAATTGGTCCTACCTGGTTCTGGTTGGTGAACTGGAACTTTCCATACTTGGTCTCAGCTTACTTATGTTGGTCAGGGCCCTTTAATCACCTCCAGGACTGTGCTCTGTGAGGAACCCCTCCTTGGGGATGTGTGTCTGTGGCCTAGAGTAGGGGAGACGAAGGCTGTGTGAGAGCTCCCTGATGTAGTTTTGAGAAGAGGTGATGTATACATTCCGGTCTGAGTCCACTGCCAAGGACAACGTCTGGCAATAAGAGACAGCTAGACGGAAGCTTGGGAGAAAGGAAGAGCAGACTGGATAGGGAGTTCCCACTCTAGAACCAGTGTCTGCTCAGTGCAGTTTTCAGAGCTGACACCCGATGGCGATGTGCTCCTTAGTTCTTAGGCCTCTTCTCATGACAAAGGACCCTCCAACCAGGCAGCCTAGCAGGGGAGGGCTTCTGTGAGGGGCTGGAAATACAGAGGGTTGCAATCAGTATGCAGAGGCATGTGAAAACAAGGCCTGATGCTGGGAAAGCAAAAAACCCATTGTGACTTGACAGACCGGGTGGCTGGGGAGTGCCTCTAGGAAGGTTGAGCTGGAGGCCATGTGTGGGCCCCATTACTTGGCAAATGCAGTTTATTGCCAGTAACATTGTGAGAGTCTAGGCTTCTCTTCCACTTTTAAGAAGACCAAGTCAGAGATTGGAAGTGTACGGAGCAGATCCTGGTGGGTTGAAGACCCTGGAGACAAACTGAGAATGTGCAGGTCTTGGTACTGCAGAGTACTCTCGAGTACTGCAGAGAAACAGGGAGCGAGCTCACAGATAACCTCAGGAGGGGAGTTGGAGCAGGAACCCCTAGATACAAGGGTATCCTAGAAGTAGTAACATGACTGACGATGCCTACAGAGAAAAGTGTTTCTTCTTGACCAGAGGGTTCGAGCAGGGAGATGGGACAGCCTGGAAAGCTGCTGCTGCTCGCGTGGAGGAGGCAAGGGGTAGAGGGAGAATGGGGCAGGGGTCCGCGGAGCCAAGGAGAGAGCAACAGGGGCCAGGCCAGCACACTGCCCTTCGCAGCCCCACTCTGCAGCTCTCTACTGGCCCTTCCTCAAGCCAGAGCTGCAGGCCTCTCTGAGGCCCTCACAGCACAGGGAAGTCCCTGGCTTGGCCAGCCGGTGAGCAGTGAGCAAATCAGAGCTTGATGTAATCACAAAAGAAACGGGGCATTCTCAGGTTGTTACAGAATGCCAGGGATTCTGATATAATAATTTATTCTAAACCTCTAAATGAGAGACATTGGTTTGCCAGAGCAAAGAAAGGTAAGCATAGAGGTGGGCCAGGAACACCCTTTCCCAGGGTGGGCATCCACAGGTGGGAGGGTGCTGCCTAGGTGGACCACACTGTGGTGGCACAGCCCATCAGGGTACACTGGCTCCCCTGCAGGCCCCAGGTGAGGAGAGCTCCACGTGTGGGGGAGAAAGGACAGAAGGTGTTAACAGAGCTTGCTCCCCGACACCTGCTTGCTGGCTATGGTGGTGTGAGGGGCTGATTTTTTTCTGGCCCCCTCACCAAACTGCCTGTACCCTCTCCTCCTCCCAACGCATGATGGGTGCCTTCAGGGGCCCCGTGTGAGGTTCTGCTCCTGTTCATGGTGTGCCATGTGTCTGCATAACTAGCTGTGTGTGTACATGTGTGTGTTGATGTGCTCACCTTGTCTGTCTGCTGGCTTCCTCCATCCTTTGAGTTCCTTTTGGTTCCCCTATGATTTGACTGCTGTTTTTTCATCCAAGCTTTTAGACTGATGCTGTGGTCTGGTGCTGTATAAATATTTTTCCTTTTAATTTTGTTTTAACTTCTTCCTTCCCCTTCTTTACCCCCCAGCCCTCTTCCTGTCCCTCCTCCCTAATTCCATTTCCCTACCCCCTTCCCTCTGCCCACACTCTCTTATTCCCCTCTCTCTTTCTCTCTCTCTACATATATAAATATATATATATAAATCTTTTCTTCTTTTGTCATTCAACCAAATTCCAACAACCCAACCAGGGCCAGTCAAATCCACCACAGTCTCGCGCTGAGCTAGGAATAAAGTTCACGTAATCACATGAGAGTGGAGAAAAGTCCCCCATCCGTAAGTTCAAATCAACTCAAAGTTCACAGTGTGACATGATGGCGTCATGTAACAAGGCTAAGAATCGGTTGCATGACACTTGCCGTCAAGTTTCGTGGAGGTGCTGTGATTGGAGCGTTTTTCTTGGATGTCGTACCCGTGGATGATTGGCCAGTCATGATCACACGTGCATTTTCTTAACCCTTGTGCTGCCACGGTCTCTTTTGCTGTGCTCATTTTCGTTTCGTTCTTGGTGCTTGCAGTGGTTTTACTTTCTGTTGTTTGGTTTTTCTTGTTCAGCGTTTTTCTTTTTTAAATGCTTCTCTAGATGTCACATAGAGAAAGAAAGAAAAAAAAAAAAAAACCAAAACAAAAGAACAAAAAAAAATTAGCAAAACTAAAAGACAAATTCCTCAATTATCAAACATGGGATCATTTAACTATATAAACCATTCTTTTTTTTTCTTAAAAATAAGGAAAACATCTTAAAATATTTCTGCGTGGTTGATTTACTTGCACTTGAAAATATTGTGATTTTATTTTTTTCTAGAAATTTGGGGGCCTTTTTCAATTGACACTTTCTTAGGTTTGGTCTTTTTCCAGTTAGTCTATTTTAAAATCTCACCTTAAAAGGAAATGTGACAACCAAAACCAAAATATCTATAGTAACAAAATGATAAAGAAAAAAAATTTTAAGACAAAAAGATAGAGTCCAAAGCCAGAGGTCTCTGAGAGAGAGCCTGGTAAAAATTGTAAGGTTTGTATTGTAGCCAGTTCTGCTAAATTGAATGTGGGGAGGGAAGGGTGGTAGGGTTCATGGGAGGGTATTTTTGGTTGGTCTGGAAGAAACTACAAAAGCAAAATGCATCATTTTATTTACAACTGAAAAAGGGTCCTTGACAAGTGTTTTTTAATTTTATTATTATTTTCTTTGGTGTTGTAATTGTTTAGACTGCTGTGTACGGTTTGCTGTTTGTTGAATCAACAGTGTGAAAACCTGCCAGCATGGATTGATATACGCATGACGTGGTCCCCTCGAGTGGGGCTTTGCAGTTATAATTTTCTTGATGTAACCAGTCACCCCCATGTATAAGTGGAAGCTGCTTGCTAGAATGGAGATGAGCCTCATTTGTTAATTCACAATGGTTAAGCATTCGCCTTTTGATTCTAGTCAGATCATGATTTTTTTTTCCTTAAAAGCAAAACAAAACAAAAACCACCATTGGAAACAAAATCCAAGAACTGTTTCAGCTAATTTAAGTTTGATAATTAAATCTATTTTGACCTTTTTTTAGGTTCTCCCATCCAATCCTTGGAAGTTACGAATTTCCTCTAAATTCCCTGGCATGTATGAGAAAAGTATTGTGTATGTGCATATGTGCGTGCATACATGCATTCACATACACACATATCCATGTATATACACATATGTGCAGGTGAATATATTCTACACATATATCCAGATATACATATATATACACATAGCCTCGCAAATAGTTATTGACCTTGGGGAAGAAGTGGTTGGTTAGAAACTGGGCAAGAATTTGGCAAAAATTGAGAGGCAGCTGGCTCTGTCTTCCTAGTTTTCTGCAAGCTGGGGAGGAGTGGGCTGGCCTGCCATATTTCTGCTGTCTTGTTTGCTAGGCTTCTGTATACATATGGTATCTGGGCTAGGTTCCTTGGGACAAGTTTAATTACAAATTTATGTCCCACAGTCCCAAATTCTTCCCTTAGATCTAGCAGTCCCTTAATCCAGAACCCTTCTTAAGGAAGCCAAATCAAGAATTCTTTTCCAACATCTAAGTCCCAGCTATAATGTCACCACGAGCCGGCCCAATGGGTTCTCAGTCTATATAGAACTGAATAGAAGAACAAATTTCTTTTGGCTGTATCATGATCATGACTAATTCTCATACTGGTCTCTCTTCCTTCCCACCCACCATCCCCCAGAAATCCCATCTTCCCTAGAGGCAGGATCCTATTGGTGTTTGGATGCATTCTGTGTTTTCACACTTGGCTTAATCAGCCCTGATTTTCTTCATTTTAGGGCAGGATGCTGAACGGGCTACATTAAAAACAAACCTCTTTCTCTCTCTATTTATAAATGAGAACTGTTGGATGACACCTTTGACATATCAGCCAATACCAATCAAGCTGAAGACTCCAGACACTCTGTGTGACTGTAACATTTCTTCAAGGAAAGTATAGCATCTATGGAGTGCAGAGGGCACGTGTTTGGGGAAAAATATACAAGACATAAAGATGACGACGAAGAAGAAAAACGAGATAAAACAAACAAAACCCTGCAACTTTAAAACAAGATAACGTGAGCCCAGATGGGGAAGCTGAAGGGCTGGGCACTAGGAGGAGACACTGCTGCTGCCAACCGATCCTGGGCATTTCCTGCCCGCGGGCGCCTGAGGCAGGCAGAAGCAAGCGTGCAGCGCAGCGCAGCAGCCGGGGCCTGGTCCCCAGCAGGCGGCTGGGAGGCTGCCACTGAGCATCTCTATCTGTCATTCCTTTAGCTATTTAGGGACCAAAGGACCAAACTTTTTATTGCAGATGTGTAGCTCTGTCAATTAGAGGTGGAATGGAGAACAAACTCCTTCCTGCCTCCTGGCTGTTCTTGAAACAGCTTAGAGCGATTCTATGAAAAAAAATGTAATAAAAAAAAAATAAATAAAAAAATAAAAAAAGAGTAAAAAAACAGGAAAAAATAATGCTTCAACGCTTTTAAAACAGCAAGATACTACTAGTTCTTTGATACTTTGAGAGGCGCTTTGATCACCCCCATTGAAGTCTCTGAAACTTTCCTATGGTTTTCTGTATTATATGTCTGGATGGAACTGTTAAGATAAACATTGGTGGATATTTGGGGAAAGCAACAAAGATATTAAATCATTAACCACGAAGAGTGAGAACACGAGGGGAACCAGGGGACTTCGAAGGCAAGGTAATTGTTGTGAAAAGTCTGTAAATGCTTCTAACTCTTCCCCCTCTTAAAATCATAATAGTTGTACAGAATTTTAAAAGGAAAAGTTTAAAATACCTATATCATAGAAGAAAAAAAATTAGAGGAAAGCAAAAAAATAAAAAAAGGAAAAAAAAACCTTATAGAAGTTAGCGTTATGCTAAAATCCCAGATGTTGTAGGACTGTACTTCTGTAGAGTTTAGACTGAGCATCGATCCCGTCTCCCCGCGAGTGCTGTCGGACTCGGTCCCGTAGGGCCAGGCCGGACTGTCCAGACCTGCGGGCTCCAGCCGGAAGCGCCGCTCCGCCAGGAAGCGCCTCTCCGGAAGCGTCCTGCCGCCTCTCGCTTCGCCCGCCCCGGAGCCGCGCGCATGCGCGCTCTCCGCCCTCCTCACCTCTGCTTCACTCGCCGTCTGTGCTTGTTCCGGAGACTTTCCAGGTCAGGGAGAACTGGGAACTTTTCATCTTCAAACAACTAGACAACACACACACACACAAAACCTTAAACAAGAGAGAGAAAAACAAACAATCTTTGAAGAATTTCTGAAACTGTTTACAAGGAATTTTGAAAAACAGGGATGTTTAAATGATGCCGGCTCTGTTTTTCTGTAAATAAATTTGCATATTTTGTAGGACTTTTAATTGTAATGATAGAGAAAAAACAAGGAAAACTATTTAATGAAAGCACGATATTTATCTTTGGTAAATGACTTTAGAGCAGTTAAAGACATTGCTTAAAAAACTCAGAATCAGAAAAAACACTGAATTATTTAAGAACACATATATTTTAAAGTATAACATATTTATTATAATTTATTTGGGAAGACTTGCTTTGCATTCTGCCTCAAGAGCTTCTCATTGATGTCCATCTGGAGGCCAGAGGGGTCTCGGAACTACCATTTTTTTTCTTTAGAACGACAAAATTCTGGTTGCTCTCAGGCCTCCTCCCTTTTCTTTCTGTCTGTTTTGTTGTTGTTTTACTTCATTTAGTTTTCTTTTTCTTTCTCTTGACTCCTCCTTTTAGGATGTCCAGATGTTGTAAAAAAAAAAAAATCAGCTGCAGTTCAGTACAACTGCTCTTTTCACACCGACTCCCTAAAACTCCTTGTAACCTTCTGTAACTATTGGATGACGCTTTCCCCAGCTTAGCCCTAAATAAAGCACAGTTTAAAAAAAAAAAAAAAACTCAGAGTCCTTATTGCTCCGTGGCTCTGTTTCTTACCAGTTGTGCTGCAAGGCATCAAGGTTTGTTCAGGGCCCTTCTTTTACTGGGATCTGTCATACAGGTCTTCACTGTGACCCCAGCAGAGTGCAGGAACAGTAAAAGGCAGGCTTGTTCACGCTAAGAAAACTTCAACTGATATATTTAAGAGAGCCTCCACTGCAAACCCATTTTGGTTTGGGCTTCCTGGGGGAGAATTGGTCACAGTGCAAAGGCGTAAATATCACAGCCCCCCTTTCCACTCTGACAATGGAAAGCAAGGCTGTCTGACCTGAAGATGGGACTAGACTTGGGCAAGGGATGCTATATCTTCAGGGAGGAGATAGTGGGCAACTTTGCCAGGGAGCCTTTTGCACCTGCAAGGACAGTTTGCTTGGATGGAGAAAACAGGAGTGTGGGTGATGCCCTTGGGTGACGTCCTGGGGAGAGTGCATAGGAAGAGGAGCTGGAGTACCAGAGGAGCGCTGTCTCCCCACATTTAGACATGATATAGATACCCAAACTCTGAATATCTTAGATGCCTTGGGAGCAGGTAAGTAATGTCCTAAATGGGAAAGGACAAGAAACAGGGTTTACTGGAGACCAGGAATGAGACTCCTGAGCAACAGCTTGGGCACAGGAATACCAGCCACGTTTTTCTCAGGCTCTCCTTGAGAGATACTTCAATGCTCAGCCCCTTTCCCCTGCCTTAGTTCTCAGCATTCAACCCTGAAATCTGGTCTAGGGATGAACAGGATCCACGAGTTGATCACAATGTATAGTTAGGGGTAGGGAAGCTGTATAGTTTAAGGTGTCTGCAGGACATTGGGTCTTGGGGAGTAGGAAGCCATCCATTGTTTTGGAGGGTGGGCTAGTGCTTCACTCCTGTTTGGCTTCTCCAAAGAGGGCTGGTGAGTACAGTGATAAAGACTAGTGGCAGAGAAATCCGTGGCACCCATGGATCATCCCTTTTCCTGTGTTTGGTGCCAAGAACCCACCCCATGTGTCTCATTCAGGCCCTGGAAGTGTTAGCTAGAGAAAAGAGACATCCCTGTATCAGCAAACAGCTTTAAAGCTGTGATGTTACTGCGATGTGGGATGGTTCTATGAGAGAGCACCCTACTATCCATAAATCAATTCTCACACCCAGATCTTCCCAACAGGATCTGAATGCAAGGAAACACTACGTACCCATCCCAGTAGCTGCATGTCTGAGGTTGTAATACCCCTATGAGGGGTAGAAAGGATTTTATAGGTTCTGAGGCTTGAAGTATGTTAAACTGGTTTCTGTAGGGTATTAAGAGCTGAAATACACCATACCAGCTAAAGAAAGTCAACTTCAGCCCCAGGTCATCCTCAGGCCAGAGGGTACTCACCACCTCATCTCCTCCCTTGCATTCACCTACTACTGTCACTCCTGTGTCTGAGACAATAGCCTGTCACTGAGGTTCTCTGGGTTAGGGCTGTGGGGACCTTTGGAGCTGCCACCAGAGAAGAGCTGGCTGAGACGCTGGTCGGCCACTTCTGCCTCTTCAACACGTGGCTGAATGGAGAGATGCCATCACCAGATCACCGGGAATGCACCAGTTGTATAAAATAAACCCTGGATGGCAAGACTGCACACCAAGCAACTAGTGTGTGTTCAGCATATTGAGCACAATATGCATCCTTTTAACCTCGGAGGCAAGGTACAGAGCCCCTGAAAGCTTGCTGCATGTTTATGCTCCATAAGATTACAGGGAGCTATGGGCCCCATGGCTCACCCATCCTTCCTAGCAAAGCACTTTTGCTCTGCAGAGTCAAGATAGCCCAAGTTAAGTCTGCACCAGTCCCTGTTTTATGTCCTCAAACTTACACCCCCTCTGCTACTGATACCCCCCTACCCCCAGTGCAGGCTATCACTTTATAAAGCCCCTATTTGCAGGAGAGCATCTATTCTTTGCTTTTATTTAGAGTATAACCCCAAACAAAGATAGCTGCATCATGCATCCTGTGTGCCCACCCCCTCGTTGACTCACCTCTCAGTTTATGAGTCATATTGACAGAAGTCAGATACAAGGAACTTCCCTGCTACATACTTCACTTCTCCCCTCGGCAATTTTTATACTGCACTGAGGTCTAACAGCTTGGCGGGAAGTTGTCCAGCATGGTCTCTGTGTGGCCATTCTGCAGGATGCCCTGGGTCTATCTCTAGCTCCTTTTCAGTGACTGGGCATACCCAAGAAGGTCTTGCAGAGTTCTTTCAGCTCTTCCTCTACCCCTTTGAAGTCCTAGCCTTTTCCACATTCCACTCCTCAATGCTGCCAATATGAAAATGACATGGAGACCTTCCATTGTTGCTTTCCTGTCTCCTAGCTGTTCTAAATGGGGGCTTTTGTCCCATTCTTCCTCGGCCTTACCACATTCAGGGTATGGGTAGAGTGGGACACAAACATGCCAGAGCCTCTCCGGCCAGTGCCGCACTGTCTCCATCTCCCAGTGAGTACTATTAGTGTCTGGGGAACTTGGCAACTCCTCTACAGATCCTACTGGTGTAGGGGTGTTAGGGCTGCTGTGTAAAGCAGGCTGAATCTAGAATCTACCTGCCTGCCTGGCAAGGTGGATAAAGGGATATGTGGGCACTGAGCTCAGGGTCCCAGCTTAGCTTAGCCCAAGGCAACAGCATCAGACTTGACCGTGAATGCCACTTGGCTATTTCCCAAAATAGAATCTCTCCTCAAACACAAATTATTAGCTGCCATTGATGTATCACCTTCAATAGACTATTAACTTCTGGCAGTTAGATTTGTCATCACTGTTGAGTCACTCTGCCTGCAAGGACAAATTATAGATCACTGGGGCTTGTTCCAAAGAGGTAGATGTTCTGAAAATGCCTTTTAAGTAGTGTTAATGGCACATGTGGAGTAAGTTACACAGTCAAACCCCCCCTCCCACTGGGTTCCTGGGCTTCAGTTCTTTGCTTTAAACTCCCATCCATCACCATAAGCCACCTAGTCTCCTACCTTCATTTTTTTTTTTTTTTTTTAACCACTCTGGCTCCTGCTTCTGGTTCCCGACACTCCCAGCTGCCCCAGACCTAGCTAGCTAGCTCTTGCTCCCCAGACCACGGCTTTAGCCCT